AATCAAGTATATAATTCCCCGAATTATACAACTTATCAGCCTCCTTTCAACTGTAGCATATCAAACAATTCATCTAGTCAATCGTCACCATTTATTGATTTTATTGCTGATCCTCAAGCTATGGCTGTTGTCAATTTCACTTCGGATTTTCAAGCTATGTCATTTGGACCAGGAGATGCATCACATCCTGTCAATTTCACTGAGAATCCTCAAATTTCATCAATGTCATTTTTTGAAATGGGAAATGTTTCACCTCAAGCTTTATCAATGCCACCGTTGGAATTGGGTGATGCTCTTTTAAATTCTACCACTGATCCCCAGGCCTATATATCACATCTTATTAACCCCGCCACAAATTCTCAAGTCACGCCATCGTTGGAATTAAGAAATGTATCTCCTATCTATCCCACCATGGTTTTCCAAACTATGTTGGAAGAAATGGATCAATCATTTCTTGTCAATTCTAACGCGAATCGAATGCCTAATTCGGAGGAGATGACTAATCAAATCGATTGGTGGTGGAATAATCATTCCGAAACATAAAAGAGGGGACACTCTACATTTTTGGCAGATTCGAAAACCAGTTTTTTGACAATTAATTGGTCATTGATAAAAATGTGACAACAAATATTAAATAATAACAACTTGTTGTCTCAATTTTATTATTCGTTTCGACTTAACCTGTTAATTCAAGTTTTATGAATAATATAGAAATTTATATGATCATTTTTATGATTTTTATTTTAACATTACGTTAATATGACTAATTTTTCTTTTATTTTTGCTTACGCAATTTTAAGAAAATTTTCTCTAAATACTTATTTTGCAAATTTTATTATAGAATAACTTAATATTTTCGATATTGAATAAGAACATTTGATTTTTAAAATTATTAAGAAAAAAAATTTTATTCACAAGAAAATGTTCTTTTTTCATTATAGAATATTTAACATATCTTCAAACACACCTTTAAGCTTCTCTCTCTTTTAATTCATTATTTTAATTATCCATGTTCTTTTGCAAAATGCTTAATAGATTGTATATATGTATATTTTGTAAATATTTTAGAATTTCTTTTATATACAGAGCAGCATTATTTACTTTTTTTTTCATACGAAAATCATTAATCAATTTTTCATTTTATTTATTTCGTTTTTTAAATTATTATTTCATACTTAATCATTCATGTTTTTTTTTCACATTTTTCGGTTTTGAATGAACATTTTTGATTTTTTTATAATTTGTTTTACACATCTTTGATTTTAAATATTGTTCTTTTAACCCGAAGAGGTAGTGACACAAAAAATTAGATTTTATAATCTTATAACGATAATGATTATATATTTCTTAATCTAATTTGTCAAAGATATAGATTTTCTCAAAAAATTAATTTTTTGATTCATCCTCTTTTTTTATATGTTGGTTTTTATGTATACATTTTAAATAACCGAGATGTATACTTAAATTATAATAATGTAATTAAGATGACTTTATATAAGCTTATATGTTAATGGAAAAGTATCATATTTTTAACTTGGTAACATATAATTTTTTTTTTGGGTTATCAAAATAATAAAAAATAAGTTCTTTTAGGTTTTGTCAAATATTATACTCAAAAAATCATTGATGTTATCTAAGCATAATGACATTATCTAAACATAATGACATCATATTTGCAAGACTGACCAAATTTATGACCAAACAGATTGTTACAAACCAAAACTATACTTAAGTATTGTCACGGGTAAAATAAAATCGTGATCGAAAAGGAAAGGAAATGTGATTGAATCCCGTCCCAAATGCGAGCATTTTGTCCCATAATCATAAATCAAATGAAACCGTCGAATGTAATACAAAAAATCAGGTAGGAATTACAAAAACTTACCAAATCGGTATATATAATTATTCGATCAATTTTTTTTTTATCAGATGTTCCAGAATTTATGAAAACAGCTGTAATACTGACATGAATTCATTCATACCCAGAATTTTGGTCGGATAAAACAATATCCACAAAACAGATAACGGATACAATATCCGATCCGGCCTCAGATAATGAATATCTTTGAAGTGTCAA